AAGAGATGATGTTGGCATTAGCTCATAGAGGTTTCCTGTTCGCTTTGTCTCCTGGGAAGAAAGAACTATATGCCACTAAACCATTGCACCAGATGTCTTATGGAAAGGAAATGTATAATCTCTGAGATGTTAAGGTCTCCGAGATTCTACATTTTTTAGGAGAGACATATGTTAAAAGTATTAAAAAATCTTTTACATTTCTACATTCTCCAGAATAATTAGCCCAGAACTTTGCATAAATATGTTTACTTTGTGTTCATTTCTTTATTTAGTAATTCATTCTCTAATATTTGTTTAGTACCTTATATGAGCTAATTGCACTGCTGTGCGTTGGTGGCTGTGGGATTCAGCCTCCAAGATGGCCCCAATGATCCCTGTCTCCTGCTACATAACCTTGGGCTGCATTGCACCAGGGTTGGTCTGTGGGACCCATAGAATATTGCAGAAATGACGGTATATTACTTTCAAGATAGGTAGTAAAAGATCCATTTCCATCTTTTGCATTATCTCTTTTGGATCACCCTCTCTGGGAACCCATGTTATCAGCAGCTCCATGAAGTGTCCCAGGAGGTGAGGAGTTAAAACTTGCCAACAGCCATGCAAGTGAGCTGAGAAGTGCATCTTTCAGCCCAGTCAAGTTTCAAGTTACTGCAGCCCCTGCTGACAGTCTAACTGCAGCCTCATCAGAGGCCCTGAGCCAGTACCGCCAAGAAAAGCTGCTCTAGAATTCCAAACTCTCAGAAACCGTGAGAAAATAAGTGTTTACTCTTCTACCCTGAAAAATTTAGAAGAATTTTCTATACGGCAATCATGAATTAATACAGAGGTACATGCATGAACAAGTCTTTTTTTAATTTCAAATTTTACAATAGCTTAAAGGGTACATGTACAAGTTTGTTACATGGATCAATTGTGTGATGCTGAGGCTTGGGGTCCCAATGATCCCATCACTCAAGCCAGAAGAATAGCACCCAACAGGTGGTTCTTCAGCTTACACTCCCCTCTTTTCCTCCCCCAGTGATCCCCAGTGTTTATCATTCCCATTTTTATAATCATATGTACTCAAAGTTTACATCCTACTTATAAGTGAGAACATCTGGTAATTGGTTTTCTGGTCCTGTATTAGGTAGCTTGAGATAATAGCCTCCAGCTCCATCAGTGTTACTGCAAAGGGTATGATTTTGTTCTTTTTTATGACTGCATGATATTCCATGGTGTGTATGTAACCACATTTTCTTTATCTAGTCCACTCTCGATGGACACTTAGGTTGATTTCATGTCTTTACTATTGTGAACAGCACTGCAGTGAACATACAGGTGCCTGGGTCTTCATGAGAGACGAATTACTTTTGGGGGGTATGTGCCCAGTCATGGGATTGCCTGGTTTGCTGGGTCAAATAGTAATACTATTTTACGTGGATGAACAAGCCTTTTCCTGCCTTCAAGAAGCTTCTAGTTCAGTAAAACTGCTGAAGTGTTGACTTACCACTAAACCAAGTGTAGGCATCATGACGCCACCTAGATGCGGCACCTATCTCAGTCTGGAGACATTAACAGCCAAAGGAATGAGTGATTCTTAATTTGTGCCTCCAAGAATGAGGATGAGGAAGTAGCAACAGGAAAGTATGGATGATTTCAGATAGAAGAGAGAGGGTAAGGCAAGGTTGAGGGCAGGGAGAGATGAATACAATAGTTTCTAGGCCCTGGTTTCATGTGGGCAACAGGGGTGATGAAAAATGAGGATGGGGAGGTGAGCTAGGAACTGATGAGGAAGAAGGTATATACCACAGGAAGGAGCTAGAGGGCAGCCACTGAAGATTTTTAAGCAGAAACATGACTACCATTCTCTCTCTCTCTCTCTCTGAGAGAGAGAGAGAGAGGGGTGTGTGTGTGTGTGTGTGTGTGTGTGTGTGTGTGTATCTCCCTTCCCTCCCCCCTGTTCTACATATTCCTCCTTCTTCCAAAACCCTATTGTACAGATATTTTAAACTACTGGGGTCATTTATGTACCTTCAAACCTGTTCTTTTTAAATGGATCTTCACTCCCTCCTTTCCCCACCTAATTCCTATATGTTAAAACTCAGCTGTGTGTTGCCTCTTCTTGGATACATAAGCTCCCATCTGATTCCCATCTCCCCTAGCTCTCACCTCACTATATTCAATTTGTGATTTGCATCCAGTCTTTCCCACAAATTTCCAAGCTCCTTGAAGGTAGGGTCCATACCTCATGTGCCTGGCGCTGTCAGCACAGTGTCTTGCATGAAGTGGACACTCCATAATGTGAGTGGATAGAACCGAGCCCTGCATTCAAGCATTCTGCTTATTGTCCAGAAGAATACAGTCCAAAGAGGAAAGTACTGAAAATTAAGAACCTTTTGATCTTCTTTAAGAATTAGAAAGCTTAAATAATTCTTTCTAATTAGCTATAGGAATTTTTTTTATTTGTGATCCTAGATACACTGGAAAGTGAATAATCAAACATGAAGAGACAAACAGCTACCATTTGAACCTTTGACAACTAATTTACAACTGCAGGACCAATAGGTTATTATGTATACTCGTCCTTGTTTGTGCAGGACCAATCAAATAGTGCTTTGTATTAATACTGTTAGGTTAAAATTCTGGGTTTTTTTTCATGTTTAACTCTGTCTTTACATATGAGTCAGCTAATATTTTCTTTGAGAGGAGATTTCTTAGAAGTGTGGGGGAAATCCCCAGCTAGAAGACCTGGGCAGAAACATGCTCTGGTTGATCATGATCTGAATTGGAAGGAAACAATTAAGGAGTTACTTTCATTTTGATTCCAATAGCAAGCCTTTCTACTTGTTGAGCTTCAACCTGTTTGCACGTCAGCTGAAACTTCAACAGAGCTTCATGACAGAGCTGTTAAAAGCCTTTGAAAAGGGAACTTGTGAAATCATAAATACTTCAGAAATAAGAGAATGTTTCTCAGTCCATTACATTCTTAACCCCTTGTTTCTTCTTAACAGACTTTCTTAAAGGTCAGTGAGAATGTTTTAACAGCATATACTTCAGACTTCCAAGAGCATATTGTTTCCATTCTAAATACCCATTGCTAATAAAGAACTGGATTGGTATATCTGCGCTTATATTTTCAGTAAAAATAAAAAGTCATCATCAGAAAGACGTGAGCATAAATCTAAATTTCAGAGCTTCCAGTTAGGATATATTTGAAAGTCTGTAATTTGGTGTTACTTTTCCAATTAGGATAATGAATAACATAACATCTGTATAACGTATAGTTACAGTTTACATAAACTGTAGTATATATTTGCATTATATAATGTATGTTTGTATAATGTATATAATGTATATTTACATTATACAATTCATGTATAATTACAGTTATATAAACTGTACAGAAAATTTCTGTATACTTTTCTCATTTTTCATCATAATGGTTGAGTGACATAGGCATTTTAGATGTGGGGAGACTGCAGTCCGAGAAGGTTAGGTTGCTTAACTAACCCTGCTAACCTAAGCCTGAGCTGTGATGTGATCCTGGATTTGCAATCACAAACTGGCAAACTTCTGTTCTCTGTTGAATGCTTCTGTTTATTTGTTTTTAAGAAGTTTTTGACCAAGCACCGTGGCTCACGCTTACAGTATCAGGACTTCGGGAAGCCAAGACGGCCAGATCGCTTGAGACCAGGACTTTAAGACCTATCTGGGCTGCATGGCAAAACTCCATCTCTACAAAAAATACAAAACTTATTGGGCATTTTGGTGTGGGCTGTAGTCCCAGCTACTTGGAAGAATGAGGTTGTCGCAGCAATCAGCCGTGTTTGTGCTACTGCACTCTAGACTGGGAGACAGAATGAGACTGTGTCAAAAGCAAAAATAACAAAAAACAGTGGTTTTTCTAGCACACTTAACGAGATTGTTTTTAAAAATGCACAAACTAGTACTTTTGGAGTACTAGCACAGAAATGTGTAATTTTACTATCAACTTTTCTCCTAAGAAATCAATTTTTTCATTGTCTGAAAGAGCTAGAGTTACCTGTCTGTCAAGGATATTTTCCACAAGTACCCATAGGCAGTTTTGAATTTGTGGTTCATTTCACCTTTTTATGACTCCAGAAATTAAATGATTCTTGGCTGTACATCAAAAGATGATTATGTAGTTATTATTTATTTTTATAGCTCAGATGAATCTGGTACTAGCTCCATTATAGTGCACATCCCATCGGCCAAATGAATACAATCTGGAAATAAGACATGCATTTTTAATAGTAATAACGCAATAATTCTGCATTTTGTGTAGGTGTACCAGGGGCTACTTAAGTGAGGTTTAATGTCAGTTGTGAAACACTGCAGTGCCCTTACTGGAATCCGGTGATAGTCACATTTATTGGGTTGTTTCATGAAGCCAGATGTAAACAATCACTTCAGAGGAGGACATACTAAGTATGGACTTGTGCATTATTTTTCTCAGCTATATATAGTACTGTATAGTAAAAATAAGCAGCACAGACCTTTCTTCTGTTTCTAGAGTGACAGGCATTCTGAGATATTGATAGGAATACAAATAGACATCATTAAATGCTTTACCCATGGCTTTGGGCCCAAGTATCGTTATCTGAAAGCATTTAGAATGAGTAAGTAAAAGCCAAGAAAATTTACAAATCTCATTTTAGAGAATAATTACAGTTATCCATCACTGAACTACTGGCAAGTAATGGTATTGCCTCATTGGATTTTATCCCTTTTTATGACTCTGGCTGTTCCTCAGGTGTAAGGTCTGTAAGCCATCAAGTGAATTGGAAGGGTCAGGAAGACTAGAGGCCCAGAATGACTTCAAGAATCAGCATATAAAAGAGCATGGGAACGATATGGAGAACTAGCTGAAATATTTGGAATTTGTGTGTGCTGAGCTGTGTGAAGATTGCTACCCAGTACTAATCATATTCCAGAAGATGGGTTAATATATGATCATTAGCATTTATAATAACATGTAAGTTCTACTCTGGGCTACCTGATGTAGGAGACTTTATTAGTTACTCAGGGCTGCAGGAACAAGGTCTACAAATCAGGTGACTTAAAACAACAGATATTTATTAACTTATAGTTCTTGAAGCTAGAAGTCCAGAGTCAAGATGTCAGCAGAGCCAGCTCTAGGGAAAGATTCCTTCTTTGTTTCTGGTGGTTGTCAGCAATCCTTGGCTTGTAAATGCATCACTCCAATCTCTGCCTCTATGTTCACATGGCCTTTACCTGGTAAGATGAGGTCCAAACTTCCCACTTTATATAAGGACAGCAGTCATTACCTTAGAACCTCCCGTAATCCAGGAAGACTTTATCTTAACTTGGTTGCATCTGCAAAGACTCTTTGTCCAGTTTAACAAAGAGCATACATTTTAATTCAATGGCTTTAGAGGTTAGTGATATTGAAAATATAATTATGTATTTTTAGAACCAGTATGAAATATGTGTTTATTAACTATTACACCATAACGAATCACTGCAAAATGTAGTAGCTTAAAACAGCCATTTTGTTATATCTCAGGATTTTGTGGATCAAAATTTGGATGGAGTTTGGCTGGGCAATTCTTCATGTGGTATCCATGGTGGTATCCAGGTAGTGGCTTAGCTGGAAAGTGAAAAATGGCTTCATTCACAGCTAGAAGTCTGGGCTTGGCTTAATCTCTCTCATCCTCCCTGTGAGCTCGGGACCTTTCCACACACTCTCTCTAGCAGAGTAACCGTATATCTTACATGACACTTCAAGGCTCTAAGAGCAAGTAATTAAAGAGACAGGAACTAAAATCTCATAGGCATTAATAAGGGACAGGCTCCCAAAATGGCACTGTATAGCTTCCATAATATTGTTCGTCATTATAGTCACAAAGTACCCTGAGATTTAAGGGGAGAGGCCTAACTCTCTGTGGAAAGACTATTGTTCACAGATTGCTGACATTTCTCCCATCTTTGAAAATCTCATGCCAGCAGGGCGCAGTGGCTCACAATTGTAATGCCAGCACTTTGGGAGGCTGAGGTGGATGGATCACTTGAGGTCAGGTGTTTGAGACCAGCCTGGCCAAAATGGTGAAATCCTATCTCTACTAAATTGCAAAAATTAGCTGGATGGCTCATACCTGTCATCTCAGCTACTTGGGAGGCTGAGACACGAGAATTGCTTGAATTTGGGAGGTGGAGGTTGCACTGAGACAAGATTATCATGCCACTGCATGCCAGCCTGGGTGACAGAGTGAGTGAGATTGTCTCAAAAAAACAAAAAAAAAAAAGAAAAAAGAAAAAAAGAAAGAAAAGAAAATCTCATTCCATCAGAGCCCTGCCTTGAATTTAAGAAGCCGATACAATCAGGTCTATGTAGAGATGAGACCCTTTGTGTATGTTTTCTTTGCATGTGAAGACCTGTAGACTATAGGAGTAAATTTTGTGTACTCCACACAACATATCAGAGAGGAGTAGATTCTTCTTTTCAAGAAAGAAAATGGAAGCGTGTTCCACAGTAATTCTAAAATCCAACCTGATGCAGGTCCCTAGATCCTTACCTAGGGTCCAGTCTTGTTTCCTGGAAACTATTGAGCTGAGTCTCAGTCTATTTTTCCATAAAAGCTTTACAGGAACCCTGTGTATCAATGATGATTGAGACCATTAGAGAAATCCATATACACATTTGGTTCTGACATAGTCCTTTTTTGCTGGGACTTAGGGCTTTCTGGGGAAATGAAAAGAAGTTAGAAAGTGTTCATCAGGCATTCTTAAAATTCTTAGAGATATATCCTATGATTCCTAGAAGTCCAAGTAGGCTTACCTTCAGATCTTTCTGAGAGGTCAACAAAAGAACATCCACGAGCTTTAAAGCCATGTTGTAAAGGTAGTAGCAGCAGCTCGGAGTTAACCCTTGTCCTGAGATCATTTTGAACTTTGAAACTCTATTGCTGGGAGAGCCTGGGAATGAGAAACAATTTTACCTTCATATCCAGCATGTTCTGGTCCTTTACACTTCCTACGAACCTTGATGCAAACACAAGTTTATTCTTTAGCCCATTCCTTTCCATATTTTACCCTAGGCAGCTAGGAACCAGTTGGCACTTTCTCCATTTTGCCTGTTAATCTTCCTTGCCAGACCTTTGTAGAAGTCCGTCAAGTTTCTTATCATGTACAACACTAATGCTAAACTTCTGCCAGCACAGAACAAGTATCCCATGTTTTCCAGCTTCCGATAGCATGTATAGTGTACTGTAGTATACTTCTCCAGTCCACTGACTCAAATGTTAATCTCCTTTGGTGACACCCTCACAGACACACCCAGGACCAATACTTTGCATCCTTCAATCCAATCAAGTTGACACTCAGTATTAACCATCACAGCTCCTGACACAGAGTTGTCAGACAGAGGCTCTCCACTCTCAGTAGTTGGCATTACGAAGAGTCTAGGCCGGGCATGGTGGCTCATGCCTATAATCCCAGCACTTTGGGAGGCGGAGGCGGGTGGATCATGAGGTCGGGAGATCGAGACCATCCTGGTCAAAAAGGTGAAACCCCGTCTCTACTAAAAATACAAAAGTTAGCTGGGCATGGTGGTGCGCACCTGTAGTCCCAGCTACTCAGGGGCTGAGGCAAGAGAATTGCTTGAACCCAGAAGGCAGAGGTTGCAGTGAACTGAGATTGCGCCATTGCACTCCAGTCTGGGTAACAAGAGCGAAACTTGGTCTTAAAAAGAAAAAAAAGAAGAGTCTAAAGAATGAGGAGAAGCTTCCTGTGATTAGACCATGAGGAAGAACATTCCAGATGGTGGTTAAAACATAATGCGGAAGTTCTGGGGTCAGAATGTGGTTGCTGTGTTTGAGCAACTGAAACCCCAGAATGAGTGATGCCTAGAGAGTGAGTTAGGTGAGAGACTGCCTGGGATGAGAGAGAAAGGTAGACAGGAACTGATCTAACAGGGCCTACTAAGCCATAGTAAGGAGTTTAGAGTTTCTTCTTTTCCTTAGCCAGATAGGAAGCTATTCAAGTGTCTTTGCAGGAGAGGGCAAGGTCTGATTTATATTTTAAGATGCTCAGTCTGACTGCTGGTTGGAGATTGAACCGGGGTGGAACAGAAGTGGAAGTGGTGAGTACACTGGGCTTATTCCTTTTGAACGTCCATGGATGAAGTTTCAGCTTCTACACTGACCATTTTCTACGGAATTTTTGGTTCTTGTAAGTTAAATTGAACATATAAATATGGAAAAACCTTATATTTAAATTTAAAAGGCCAGGGTTTAGTTTTGTTTAAACTATCCTGTAAATAGAAGTTTGCAAAATGAGATTTATCTTTTTTTTTTTAAACTTGTAGATTGCTTTAAATTTAATTCTGATTTTCCCTTACAAATGGTAATAAATGGAGTCAGAAATCAACATGTGTTTATATACATACTCTGTACTCCAAGTGAAAAAGTAATGTGTATATTTTCTTGAAGAAATGATGTTATAATGTAAAAACTCAGGGCTTATTGTTAAAGAAAAAGAAAGCTAACATTTGCTAAAATGGTAAGGAAGACTTTATTTTGTATTGTGATAAGTGTTAAAACTATCAGAATTGGGGAAGTAAATGGGTCTCAACTGCAAATACACATCAAGACAAGTGGAGATTTATGTCATCAGGACAAAAAGGTGTAATACGTTTTCCTCACCCAACACAAGGGTCTAGTTGACACTGATATGGCAAAAGACAAATTAATAAAACAAGAGTATAACAAATTTATTTCACAAAGTTTTATGTTACATAGAAGCTTTCGGGAAAACTGTATTTTTGTTTTTTAATTTATTTTTTTATGTTTAGGTTTGATGAAGAATAGCCATGTAGAAATATAATTAGACAAAAAGTATATGAGATAATGATTATAAACCTAAGGCAAGGGAAGCCAGCCAGGACTGTGTGTTCCAATTCTTCTTGGCCTCTCTTTTTCGAATTTTTTCCTCCTGGGTATGGGCCCAGACACCTATCAAATGAAGGTCTTCACGGAGAAAGGAGAAGGTCAGAGAATGACATTTTCAGGTTTTATGGCTTTCTCTGGGGGAGAGGAGTTCTAGTTTCTATGACCTACCTTGGGGAAAAGGAATTCTAATTTTTATGGCCTGCTTTGGGGTGAAATAGGGGCAAGAGAAAGGAGGGCAGAAGAAGGTCAGAGAGAACTTCCTGCTTTTGAGAACCTGACAGCCCCTTCAGAAGTTCAAAGTCCTCAGCATGCCAACTCACCGTACTTTGGAATATCACAATCTGAGCTGCAATGATAGCCAAGAAGCAGGCTTGGAGGTGGTAGAGGATGGAAAACTCAGAAGCTGGGACATCAAGGGTAGGGAGAATCTTGCTAAACTAACATAATAGGATGCCTGCTGAGGGCAGGCTAGGGTGATCAGATATGAAGGATGGGGGGATTCTTTATAATCTAAGGAGCATTCTTGCTGAGACTGGGATATGCAGCCTTCCCAAGGATGGTGGTTTGTGGGGATGCAAGGTTGAGGCATTGTCAGGAAGAGGGCACAGGGGAGCCTGATGAAAGTTTGATCAAGGGGAGTGTCTTGTTGTCGGCATTCATTCTTCAAAGCAGACATGAGATACAGCTGCTACAAAAAAAGACAGATTGATGTTTATATTTTATGTGCTGCCCATTAAAGTACTTACAGTTTTATTTTTCTAGAAATTGTAACTACATAATTTGGTGTTATTAGATTACCCTTGGTAACACTTGGCTACAGCAAGTTTTCTGTGCTGTTTATTTGAGAATTCATAGGATATTCAGACAGCTCACTTGTTATCCATTAATTTGAGCTTTTAAGACAAGTTACACAAGTGTCAATGGGGAATTTGAGCCATTTGTGTATGTACTTATGAATCCAACAGGCTTGGTTTTTGGGTTCTGTGGTTAGACCGTTTCTCTTACTTAAAGTACATGATTTGGTTTCAAAGATATTTATGATTTTAATTTTATTAAAGAAAATCAAGAATGTAATATGAGTCCCCATGCTGTGGGCATCTGGGCTTGGATGACATGTTAACAATAACAGTTAGTCTAGATGAAATTCATTCTAGAAGTAATGCACCTTGTGAGTTAGAAGCAACCTTGAAGTGCATGTAATCAAAATCCCTTATTTTACTCACTGAGAGGCAAGAGAGGTCACATTGCTACTTGGTAACTCTTTCTGTCAAGTTAGAGCATCAGAAGCAATTTATTTGAACTACAGTGGATTAACTCTCCAAAGAAATTACCTTTGCTCAAATATGATTCAATAAAATGCCTTTAACCTTTATCTAGAGCTGCTGCATTTTTTCAAGATGAAGAGGCAAACCTGATGGTTTTTTGTATGAAGATCCACAAGAAAAAAATTCTTTTGAAAATTTAATGCCAGAAAGCAAAACAAAACAAGCAGAAACTACACCTCTTGTGAATAATTGGCAGGCTTTCTTTTGACCTCATGAGGCCCATGAGGTTCATTGTGTTTCTCCTTTTCACTTTGTGTCCAGGGCCTGTGGAGCTGAATGACAAAGGCTAAGGAAATTTTCTCCCTTTTTACTCTATGCTGTTTCTTGTTTCCCATTCAACTTTCCTCTGTGCTTTTGTATGTAAATTTTTATTCCAAGCCACCCCACAAATGCTTTTTGAAAGCTATTAACCTATAAAGTATTCAGAAATAAATGCTCAGTGATAAAGTCAAGACTAGAATCCAGATCTATCTCCCAATGCAAATTTCAATCCATTCTGTCACGATTAAAAAGGCATTCATATCTCCGACAATTCTTTTCTCAACAGAAAAAAAAAATGTTTCCAATGTTTGTACAAAAGGGAAATATAAAATACAAGGTGTCTAACTCCCTCTATAATTTTGGCTCAAATTTTAAAACTTAGCAATTGCACCTCTCAACCACCAAAAAAAAAAAAAAAAAAGAAAGGGGGGAGAGAGAGAGAGAGAGAGAGAGAGAGAGAGACAGAGACAGAAAACAAAGTAAAAGGAAAAGAAGAAAAGGAAATCTTTCTTACTGTTTGTTTGCTTTGGAAATTTGGAAGTATATTATTTTGTTGGCACTCAGAGCTGTGCACAGTCCTGGTGGAAAAGTCTATATATTCACAATGAAGCTTGGAACAGGCTTGGGTATCCTTCTGAATACAGATTATATGTACAAAGCCCAGTGCAATAGAAACCTTTTAAATCAAGCTTTTCCTCTGTAACAAAAGTGTCTAGTCTCTCGATTCCTGAATCCATTAATGCCCTTTGAGTGTCACCCAGTCACATACTGCTGGGCATCAGGTTGCCTTTCCAGTGTGGAAGCCTGAGACTTCTGCACAAAGGAACTCTTAGAGCTCTTGATGTTTCTCATCTGGTGACACCGAATTACAGGGCTTCTCTTTTATTGAAGTGCTGACGGGAAGAAGGGTTATCACAGTAGCCCCAGCCAGTGTGGCACAGCTGCCCGCATTCTTTGTAATGTTCTTTGAAAAGAATATATTAATAATGTCCAAAGTTGGGTCAGGCTGTCAGTCAGAATTCAGAAAGAACTACCCTTGAGAGGTTAAGATTCACTTTCTTAAAATCAAGTGGAAGTCACGGTAGATATTAGAAGGATGGAACAAGGCATACTTTAATATAACTATCAATGTGCCAATAATAGACATTGTGGGGGGAGAAAATGGGAGTATCATACTTACAGGAAGCATGTCTGATGAGAACTCAGAGAGTGGAAAACACAAGTGTGGGATATTATTTGGATTTCTAGCTATTGCATAGCATCTTTCCATTTTCATTATTATTGCAGACTGAAACCAAATATTCTTAGCTATTAATCCTTCAGAAATCACTTTGGAGATTGCGTAAGAGTACATACTCCAGAGGCTGACTGACCATATCTAAATTCTGGTTTTGTAACATAGCTCCTGGCTACCCTGGGCAATTTAAATAAACTGACTTTGCCTTACCTCTTCTACAAAATGGGGGTAATAATAATGCCTATTATATAGGATTGTTGTGAGGGATAATTGAGTTAACATTTGTAATATTTATAAATTACCTAGAATTCTTGCCTAGAGGTCTGCCTTATTTGAGTTGTGGTTATTTTTATAAATGTATCCTATCTACTCAGGTGATAAATTATTTTTATTTCAACATTGTTCTCTCATGTGTATACATAAAACTAACATAAAATTTACTATTCTGTAGTCACTTTGAACATCTCATGTAACAAACATTTAAAAAAATAAATGTATACTTTGCTGGAGGCAGTGGCACACACCTGGAATCTCAGCACTTTGGGAGGCCAAGGCAGGAGGATTGCTCAAGGTGAGGAGTCTGAGAACAGCCTGGACAACACAGCAAGATCCCATGCCTTCAAAACAATTTTTTTTTTTTTTTTAGTTAACTGGGCATGGTGACACATGCCTGTAGTCCCAGCTACTCAGGAGCCTAAGGTGGGAGAATTGCTTTAGTCCAAGAGTCTGAGGTTATAGTAAGCTCTGATCACACTGCTGAACTCCAGCCTCCATGACAGATCAAGTCTCCGTCTCTGAAAAGAGAAGTACACTTTTGTTCTGTTTATAGAAACTTTTGAATTTGAAAGTGAGTATGAAATTGCTGTAGTATAGAGACCGCATTTGATTCTTTATGGATGAATAAGGTTGTTATTATGGTCAATGGATAATTAGTATCCAAGTGATATTTAACATTTTAAAAGTTGATGTTATTATTAGAGAATTATGCAAATAGAAGACAAGAAAGAAAACTGGAAAAAGCATTTCATCTTGACGTGAAAGTTCGGACCGATTGTTGAGATTCAGAAATCCATTTGACAACCAGGCTGTTGGGTGGAGGGTTCTTGTGGCTTCTGAGGCACCACAGTGCTGGAGCTGAATCTTGATGGACTCATCTGAAACACAAATAAGGAAATCACTTCTTTGAAATAAGTTTAAAAGAACATTAAATGTCAGGTAGCTCAACCTCTATGACTTCTATTTAGAACAGTTGATGTAAATGGGAAATGTAATGTACATAAGTGCATTATGTAATTACGTACATATATTATACATAAGTGCATAGTTCATACTACATTTCCAGATGTCTACTTTATGAATTATTGTTATC